GCAGCTTCTAGCACCGTATTGGGGCCTGACCCATGCCTATCAAATACAGTTCAGTACTGTCAGAGGGCGGTGGTTGAGGCAGGAACCCAAACAACAGCAACTACGGTAATTGCCCCAGTAGCGAAAAAGATAGTGGGTCCATACCATTGATTAGAAAAGGAGGAGGAAGAAGAAGAAAGGTTTAATTAACAAGCCGGTCAATTGACAAAGAATTTTCTGAAATTGAGAGACTTCACACAGGAATTGGAAGCTACCCTATCTCTGACCTCATCAAAACTTCAAGATATGTGAAATATTACAGCCAGCTGAGTGGACTGCTGCCTGACTGATCTGATGCTGGGATAACAGGGCTGACAGTAGAAGGTGGAAAAGCCCCACAGCTGAGGTACCTTGCTAGAAACCAAGGAATTGAGAGAGGAATTGGAAAAGAGGCAACAATTTGCCATCTCTGGAGATGACACCTCTCAAGTGTTAAGTGCAAAATATCCATTCAAAGAAGACCTCTTGAGCTCCCCAGGAAAGTGGACTACCACAGATGAAGGAATCCAGCACCTGAGAGAATTAGCAGTCCTGGAAGTCATCTACAGTAATCTAGACAAAGGTGAGGTCTCCAAAGATCCAGAGGATGTCCTGTGCACATGGGCCATGTGAAGGTAATTCAAAGTGCCTCAGCATCATATTCTAAAAGCTTAACAGCATAGTGTTGCCTGGATATGGATACATCAGCTGTGGAAATAGTGTTGTTTTTGCTCCAAAACTTTGAATAAAATCTCTGTACCTCCTCTACCTTACAAGTCAGCACCCTAGATGTCAGGGGCACCATAAGAAATCAGTCCTTTCCTGCACTGGTCAGAGGTAAATGGAGCTCCAGGTCCATGTCACATGGTGCAATCTGGTTCCTTCTGCATGACAGGGGAAGGACATGAGGAGGTGGAATGGTGAACACACCTTTAAACTGGAAGCTCGTGTACATGAACTGACAGGAGAGACAGCTGTTAAGAAGGGGTCACCCACAAAGACTGTCAGTTTAGTTGATGTAGAGACACAAGAAGGCAGTCAGCAATCTCTCAGATGCAGAAGAACTGAAATCACCTCCCTTGAACCTGGCGATGGGACTGCAAGGGTCAGACGGTGACTACTCTTACCAGAAACAGGAATAGAGGGCTCCCACCTTCAGCCAGGAGAAGGAAAGAAGTTACTGGGCATGCAGGACAGTTTGGATTTGATGACCTGGCATATGAGAGGTGTAAGGCTTTAGTAGACACTGGTATGCTTTGCTCTGGTGCCACAGGGAACAGAATCCATCTGGATCTTGGAGTGACAGGGGCATACAACAAATTGTGTGTATCGGAGGCTGAGGTGAGATTAACAAAGGACAAGCAGAAAAATCTCCTGTTAGACATCAGATCAATTATTATTGGGTCTGAACTAACTTGTGGGGACTGTGTGTGTGTGTGTGTGTATGTGTGTGTGTGTGGAGGGGGAAGGGATGGATCAAACCTCACAGAGGTGGGGTGGCGTTGTGTCCCACATGGCACACCCCTGGAGCCCACATAGGGAAGCCCCGGAGGGGTTGTCAGTCACAAACAGCCTGGGAAAACTATAACGCCCCACAGCTCCTGCAGCCCCTAACCCAGCTCAGATTGGCAGGGACAGTGAGAACTTCCTCTCACCCTGACCTGTAACCCCCAGAGTAGCTGGTGGGTCAGACGCCCCACCTGGAGGGGTTGGCCATAGGGACCAGAGCAGTTAAAACCAAGGGCATGTGTTTGCGTCAGGTTGTGGCCCTGCAATTGGACTTGAGAGCTGGTCTTCTACAAGGTTTCAATGGTAGGTGTATAATCTGTCTCTCCCTCTCTCTCCTTCTCTCTTCTTGATCCCTCTGCTTTTCTTTCTTTGCTCCTTTCTTGATACTTAGAGTTGTTTGGAGCTGGAGGGATTGGATCTTGATTTAAGTGTTGTGGAATTGGTTGGATTTTGCCTTAAGCATTGTTGGTTTACTAAATGTTGACTTAAGTGTTGTGGATTACTTGTATATCTTGAATTAGTATTGTAGTGGAATATTTTTTCTAGCTTGTGTGGTGTCCTTTTGAACTTTGGCCAAGTCACCTCTTTTACTCTCCTAAATTAGTGATGAAATTCCTTGAGAACAAACCCGTGGCTTATTCTCTTGACCCTAAATCTATATATTAAAGTAAAACTTATAGTCAATCCCATGAGCCAGCAGCTCCCAGGGTCAGAGTTTTACAGCATCCCATTGTGTTTGCCCAGACTAGCCCAGAAGAGCGTACTTCTAGGACACAAATGGGTGCCAACGTGTTTTTGAAGTAGCAACTGTGAACACAGAACATCAAGCAGCCATCCACCCTTCCTGGCCTCTCCAAAGATCACTTCATTGTTGGACCATTGTGAGTTGAAGAACAGCAGGTGCCAGTTGCTACAAGGATGGTGCACTGGAGGCAATATCACATGAACCAAGATTCCCTGGCTCCCATCCATGAGCTGACTCAACATGTAGAGAGCCAATGAGTGATCAGCAAGACCCACTCACCTTTTAATAGTCCCATATGGCCAGTGCAAAAGTCTGATAGAGGGTGGAGGAGAACAGTAGACTATCATAGCCTGAGCAAAGCAAGGCCACTGCTGAGTGCTGCTGTGCCAGACGTATTAAAGCTCCAGTAAAAACCAAAGCTGAAGGAAGCCAAGTGGCGTGCTACAGGTGGCGTGCCAGTGTGGTTTTTTCAGTTCCTTTGACAGCAGAGTACAGGCCACAGTTTGCTTTCGTGTGGAGAGGTGTTCAATACCTGGAATCATCTGCCCCAACAGTGGAAATACAGTCCTTCCGTTCATCATGGACTAACCTGGAAAAACCTTATGCCTCTGAGCACTTACAGTACATCAATGACATCATACCATGGGGCAACAAGGTAGGAAAAGTGTTCGAGAAGGGAAAAAGAGTGATTCAGATTCTTCTGAAAGCTGGTGTAGTTATAAAAAGAAGCAAGATCAAAGGACCTGAACGGGAGATTCAGTTCTTGGGAATAAAATGGCAGGATGGGTGCTGTCATGTGCCCATGGATGTAGTCAGCAAGATAGCAACTATTTCTCCACCAGCTAAGAAGAGGAAAACACAAGCTTTCCTAGGCATCGTAGGACAACGCATGTTCCAGACTAGAGTCAGCTTATAAGCCCTCCCTTTTGAGTGACCCAAAAGAACTATTTTGAGTGGGGCCTTGAGCAACAATGAGCCTTTGAGCAGATCAAACAGGAAATAGCTCATGCTGTAGCTCTTGAACTGCCCTGGACAGGACCAGCTGTGCAAAATGTGCTCTAGACTGCAGCTGGGGAGCACAGTCTCACCTGAAACCTCTGACAGAAAACTTTAGGAGAAACCCAAGGTTGACTATAAGGGTTGTGGAACTGGGGGTATCGAGGATTAGAAGCCACTACACTCTGAAGTGCACTACCAGCAAATGAGGGGGTTTGAGCCACTCCAAAAGTTGTTGGTACAGAAGCATGTCTGCTTTTGGCACTGTGATTATCTGTGTTACACTGGATGCTCAAAGGGAACATCCCCTCTATACATCACACAATCAGTGCTACATGGAGTATGTGGGTAGCGTTGATCACACAATGAACTTGACTGAGGAAACCCAGCTGCTCAGGGATCCTGGAAGAGGTCATGGGCTGACCAGAAAGCAGAGATATCACACCTATACAGTCTCTACAGTGCAAAAAGAAAGAAGGGGTGGAGAAGGGAAGTGGCGGTCTGAAAAATAAAACTAGACACGATCCCAGTTATGGGGGAACTGGAATGCTGTATTGGGCACGAGAACACAATTTAAAGGCATCTCTGGCTGGAAATGTTAATGAAGGGGACTGGCTATGTTAATTGGGCAGTTGCACAAATTTTTGCTGTAGTTTCAAAATAGTTAATTTTTCTTCTAGTAGGATTACATAAGAGATAGAGGGATTATAGGGGTTTAGACATGGTCTGATACAATCATCTCAAAAAGTCCTTTCTGATTTCTGCTGGAGCCAGGCTTAATTCATAAGGTGGAACTTTAACAGGTCTTGTGAGAAGGGTCCAGCTCCTTCAGATCACGGGTTCTTGTCAGCCTTTGTTTTCCTTTTGCTGAAAGCTGGGTTTGGGCTCCCACAAAGGGATGCCAGCTACAAGTTTTCTGCCAGCTTTTACTTCTGTGTGTTGATCTGTATCTTAGAATGAAAGGCTTTTTGTTTCCCTGTGATGTGGGTACTTGTTAAAACCTATACAAAAAATGAAAAACAAGTGTCCTTAGATGGGTTGCATTGTTAAATCATCTTTGTGACTAATTTATTAAATTCAGTTTGATTTCACAAGTTAGAAGAGGTTTTAATTTCTCAGAAATTTCAAAAGGATGAATGACAGATAAAGAAGTGACCAGAGTGTGCCATCCCAAATTACCTGTTGGTTGCAACTCTGATTCTACAAAATTTTGTTAGAAAAAAAGCTAGCATATCTGAGAAAGAAACACTCTCTTCTTTTTTTGACAGTTAGAATATGACAGATTCCTCTCTATATTAATTAAACAAGTACCAATATCCTTCATAGTGTACAGTATAATTATTAGGATTGAGATCTGGTCCCTTAAGTGCAAATAGTATGCAGACAACCCTGAGGCACTTTATACCGAGGTAATGCAACTTGATACTGAAATTTATTCATAAATTACTATATTTCATAGAATTTAAAAGGTAAATTCCACTGTGAGAGGTGACTTATGTCAATCAGCGTGGTCATCATGTTACATTCCAGATAAAGTGTATTACTGAAATAAGCTGTCACTGAAATGTACTTATTGAGCCATTATATTAACATAATCTGAACCTACACTCATAATAATGGAAGCTTCCTGAAAGACAAAAAGAAGAGAAATATCAGGAAACCCTGTAACTATCATTAAAGAATCTCACTCCTACATACTTCAGTTCACCTTCTTCTTTTTCTCTTTCTGTAGGTTGTGACCTCATCCCAGTCCAGTATCTCAGATGGGGTGATCCTGAACCAATTGCAGCAGTTGTTTTTGCATGTCTGGGTCTGCTGGCCACCTTGTTTGTTACAGTTATATTCATAATGTACCGTGATACTCCAGTCGTCAAATCATCCAGTCGAGAACTTTGTTACATCATTCTAGCCGGTATCTGCTTGGGTTACTTGTGCACTTTCTGTCTCATTGCAAAACCTCAACAGATTTACTGTTACCTTCAACGAATTGGCATCGGCCTCTCGCCAGCTATGAGTTATTCTGCTCTGGTAACTAAAACCAACCGCATTGCAAGAATCCTGGCTGGAAGCAAGAAGAAAATTTGTACAAAGAAACCTAGGTTCATGAGTGCCTGTGCCCAGCTAGTTATTGCATTTATCCTGATATGCATACAATTAGGCATCATTGTTGCCCTCTTTATAATGGAACCACCAGATATAATGCATGATTATCCAAGCATCCGAGAGGTCTACCTGATTTGTAACACCACCAACTTGGGTGTTGTAACTCCCCTTGGATATAATGGATTATTAATTTTGAGCTGCACCTTTTATGCGTTTAAGACAAGAAATGTCCCAGCTAACTTCAATGAAGCAAAATATATTGCCTTCACAATGTATACCACCTGCATCATTTGGCTGGCTTTTGTGCCAATATATTTTGGAAGCAACTACAAGATAATCACCATGTGCTTCTCAGTGAGTCTGAGTGCCACAGTGGCCCTCGGCTGTATGTTTGTGCCCAAGGTCTACATCATCCTTGCTAAGCCAGAAAGAAACGTGCGCAGTGCATTCACCACATCGACTGTAGTCCGCATGCATGTAGGGGATGGAAAGTCATCTTCAGCTGCAAGCCGCTCAAGCAGCCTGGTGAACCTGTGGAAAAGAAGGGGATCATCCGGTGAAACCCTTAGGTAAAGTTTTCTAATTTGGGAGTGTGGGGAAGCAATTATGATATTCTGAGAGTTACTAATAGTGGAAATACAAAGGGAAAAATATTAATTTCCTTTACCTCTGCACTGTGAGAGAAGTGAGTCCTCTCTCCCACAGCAGTGTAAGTTTTGGACTTGATTTAGTCAAAGTGCTGTGCAAAAACAGGGAACAAAGCAATGGGCAAACAATTACAAAGTTGTAAGTACCAGCTGTGACAACTGTACACTAATCTAGGGAGAGGAACAAGATCTTAGGAGAAAAAAAAAAAGAGAACAAGAAATATAACTCATTGCCTTGACCTGAATGCACTCATTTGCAACCTCTTTCCTTAAATGAACTTCACAGTGTCTGTATTTTGCCTCTAGTCACAGTAGTAAGACAACAGGGTTGCTGCTAGTGCTTATGTAATCAAGGTGGAGCAATAAACACAAGTGTCATCATGAACATCCACTCTCAGGTATCTGAGGGGTTTTTTTATGTGACTCTTCTGTTATACCTTTTATCTCCTATTCCCTTGACTTTCCTTTCTTGTATTATCTCTTCCTAATTTCTTTCTTTTTGTCTTTACCTATCTTCTCTTCCTTACCTTTCTTGATACCTTTTTCTGTGCATATCCTCCTAAATCTAACAAATTCAGCTGCTCATGGGCTCTGTCTCCCCTCCTGTCATTGAACAGATACTCCCTTGTGAGATATTTGTTTCTTCCTAAGGCATTATTTGAATTCAGTGATCATGAAGACAAGTTGTATGTTCAGTTATAAAAATTGCTGCAAGTGAACACTAAAGAGAAAGGAGAGCTCTGTAGTGGAAACACTGTTCTGCTTCACAGACAGTGTGTAGGCATGCACTCTGACCAGTGGTTTGTTTTAATTTTTTGATCCCTTTCACTTTTGATAAGGGTTCTATGGGGATAATTAGGGTTATTTAACTGCTGGAGCAAACAAAAATTTCTGTCTTTATGAAAATGCAAAGAAACAATTTTACCATTCCTCAGCTATATATGTCTAGCCTGGAAGTGACAAGTAGCTAGATTTTTCCTCCTCACTAAAACACATATGGATTTTAGGATAGATAATACAAATGTTTCCAGACATGCCATTGTTCACAACTGGAGTTGTCATGCAACATGGACAATTTGTACTTTCATTTTTGTATGAACCGCAATTTAGACTTGAGGGAGGACCTTAATAATATCTGCAGGGCATATTATGCCAAAGTGATGATTTTTTTTCTGTCAGATTATTAATAATGCTTCTCTTTCAGAGACTTTAAATTGGTACAAAAATGGCCAATCTATTACAAGATATTTAATATCTTTGATCAGTAAATGATGGGTTTTTTCCAGTTCCTTTCCAGGTGCAGAGTAGGATGATATATAAAAATGATAAATCCTCTATCAGGTTAAGTGATTGTTACCTGAAATATCCTTTTCTGCAGCCTCTGTCTGTATGCATGAATGACCTGAGGTGTTTGAATTAGAATCCCTATAACAACTTCCGGACCAGCTAAAAGAGACATTCTTCATAATATGTCCTCAATAGAAGGCATTTTTCTCTCTGAGATCATTATTATTTTCCCTCACTTTTGCTGCAAAGCTCATTTGCCATCTCACAGCTTTTTTACCAAAAGGATGAAGATATAGATGACAGGAAGATCTTGGGCTTGGGAAGGATTTGTTCATCATCTGTTCAGGCCCAATTTGGAAAAGTACTGTTGTAAAATCTTTGTTTTGTTCTGAAAAGTAAGGAGCGTACCCTGTTATTAAATATTCTAAAAGAGAAAGGACTGTTTTCATTTCTTTACATCCCTCAACATGTAGATAATACCTGCAGTAGAGAGGTATCAGCGGAATGTAATAGATCATCATCAACAAAGACTTCTTTTTCAATAGCACAGTTTTGGGAATGTCTTCAATCCGAAAGAGCATTGAGAGTGCCCAGTATGTGTAGGAATGAAAATGGCAGTACAAAGCTGATATATCGACATATCTACCTAGATATGAAGAACCAGAACATTTCATTTGAAACTTGGAGAAAAATGTCACCAGCACTGTTCATTAACACGTAAAACTGCAACAATGATCCTTCTAATACATATGTCTGAATCCTCAGGTGATTAAACTGTGATGGTGCCAGTGAGTTTAGCAGTGTGTGCCTGAAGGGTCTAGGAACTGAAGAGAAACTGATTCCATCCATCCTGGGAAATTATCTCAAATCAATGCTAATTTGATTACATGAAAGAGAGTCCTAAAAGATACTGAGTAAATTTAAAATGCTGCTCAGGACTTCACCTAGATCTGATACCATCTCCAAGAAAGAACAGAAAACCACTGTCAGCTTCAATTCTGTAAAGTGTAGAGAGTGATCAAACAGAGTTCCGCCATTTTACTTAATAATCAAACATTTCTTTAAAAAAATCCTGTTCACTAAACAATATGTTTCAAGGTATTATTCAGTACAATGCTCAAAATCTTGTTTTGGATAGTTACTCAAGTAAACACTGAAGTATTCAGAATCAAAGGAAATATGCACTAGAGCTACATGGCATTATTTAAATAGCTCTGAGGAGTTTTATTTAAAAGAGAGTGAGTCACTGTTGAATTTTAAAGAAACATACTATTTAAGTCACAAGTGCATAAAGAGGCCCCTATCATTAGCATTTTGCTTCTTGACGCTAATTTATAGAACAGTGGAGTATTGCATCAAATCATTGTCAAACAGATAATGCCAAAGTGACATTCAGAGCTTTCACATCAGCTGCAAAATGATAGATAACAAGACTGCTTTTGCCTAAATAAAGCAAGGCATCTGTTAGAGTTCTAAATGACTTTTTGCATGGGGTGTTCTTCAATTAAGAAAACTCAAGCAAGCTGCTGCTATGTGTTGGAATGAATTTTCACATACTGAAATACGTAGAAGGCGAGAGTAAAACTATTCATTACCCAGTGAAATGAAAACCATTTCATGTAGGCTATTGTGATTCAGCAGTACTCACCAAAACATATTCTGCCCTCATTTAAAAGTAGGGCTAACAAACCTGACATTATCAGAAGCAACTCCACAAAGGAGAATAATAAACACTATACAGCTGAAGTTAAAGCCATATCACCTGTGTAGAGAAGCATTTGGACATTCTGATTTCAATTAAGTTACCAGTTAATTTCATAGGGACTAGAAAGGCCATAAATAAATTTAGTAAATCTTACCTTGAGGTCCTAGGAATTATAATCACATATGCTACACAGCCCTTTTGCAAGAGTCCTAAATACAGGCCTAATTTATTCTCTCCTAATTCTCAAATAACTCTATCCCAGGTAAGATAAGGAATATATATTTCTCCTACAAGAGCTGCTGCTGTAGTATTTCTAGTCAGGACTGCACACCAGAAAGTCTCATTCACGCTACCTTGACTGGGGGAATTTCAAAAGTTTCTCTTAACTTTCTAGTATCTTTTCCCTGGATTTACAGTAATTTAACCACTGTAGGTGTTTATGTCTTCTGGAATGTGACTTTAAATGATCCAAACTGCACATGCTCTATTTTCCAAGCTTAGAAATACTAACCCTTTAAACACACTCAGCTCCCTAAAACTACCTGCAGAAAAGCAAGATTTCTTTCCTTTAGCAAAGCATTAAAAAACAACCCTAAATACTGTCTCTCACACACATATGTGCTATTCAAAACTTTAAAGTCCTACCAATATTTTTCTCTCTGCCCCTCAAATTTCTTTCAAGTCTTCACAGTACAGACCATACTCCTTCTCACCAATTCTCCCACTGCTGGCTATAGGTAGCTCAGTGATTCTTGCCCTCAACTGCTTCTTTTGGAGGTCCCGAAACCACTTTCTAGGTTTCTTGGTTGCCTCAGCAGCAAATTCTGCACTGTTTCAGCTTGTAATATATTATGGGAAAATCTAGAGGAACCTGGCATCGTTCTACAGATCAAGCTGTGACACAGAACTGTTCTGGCAGTGAGGGGGGAACCTCTGAAATAAGAGTGAGATCAGATAACACCATTGTAATCCCAATGTAAGGCTCTCTGCTTGGAGATTGGAGGCTTAGTTCATATGCATCTCCCTTTATTATATTTGCAGTGACAGTGAAAGGCAGAAGAAAGGTATTAGGTAGCTAACATGTTTTTTTAATTGCCAGCTGGTCATTCTCCCTGTGACAATGCAATTAGGTTACTTCTACCACATTCTCAAAAGACAGAAGCTTGTAGATGCCCTGTCCAAGACAAAAGTACTGTCCTGAATCAAAACAAGACAGATTTCCATCTTCTAAATGAGTTAGAATCACTGAAAGTAACTAAGCCAAAAGCTGAGCAGCCCTTTCAATCTGTAACCCAGGCAGGTAGCTACAATCACGCAAAAGATAAGTGTTGCCAGCAAAGTTAGATGATGTTAGGTATATTCAAGATACATTGAATGTTTATGGTATTGCACATAATTCCTACATACAGTTGTGAACAGCGCAATAGTAGACAAGAGGAAAAATATGCGCATAAATTTCTGCACCTTATCACAGACACTTCTCTCACAAATCTCATTGAGATTAAGGCTTAATAGCCCTGTGTGGCAGTGATACTTTATTTCACCTTGATTTACTATGTGATGCAGTATTTCCTAAATGACTAAACATAAGCTGTGGCTGTCAAACAAAATGAATTAATCCCTTGTTTTTAATATATTATCTTTTCCTCTTAAGAAGTTTGTCTAGCACTGTGTGATTGCAGAACTGAGCATTGTTCTGTATACATCTACAAAAGTGATAGGACTGACAGCTTTCATTCAGGGCTGGGATCCCTTGTTCTAGTGAGCCAACACTCACCTTTAGGGGAATCACAGAATTTTTATTGTATATATCACCATTATTTTGTTTTATCTTACTTAGCTTAGATAAAGATGCTCACATATCCACCTAAGAATCAGGTTTCTCCCTCTCAAGCACTACACTGTTACATCAGACAAATCAGTCAGATGT